ATCTGGACATAAGGAATATCCTTCCTGGTGTAGCAGAGGTGGTTAATGTTCCTCCAAAAACCTCATAATGTATAACTTTGATCCTTATCTTTACAATGTCTGCAGACACTGCAGCATGACGAGGCTCACAATGTATAACTTGATCCTTACCTTTACAATGTCTGCCTTAATTTGATAATATATAACTCTCTGTATTAAGAACACTTAATACAGAGTTAATGCCACATACAGTTTCTTAATGCTGTGTTAATGCCACATGAGTTAATGCCACATAGAGTTTTCACAGACAATAGCAAAAGTCAAAATAAGGTCTATGATGAAATGTTAAATTTATGTTGTGTTTAGAATGCCTTCTGTATTATGTAATGCTGAGAAGATGGCAATAAAAGCCCTGGAAAAATAAAGATTGACACTGAAGTCTGGAACTCAGACCTCACTCAAGTCTCTGTGACTCAATTCTTTCTACATCCCGGTCCATGGTCCCTGAGATGGACATGGTTCTACAGCTGCCCAGACCTAATTTACTACCTTGTCAATGCCACCTTATCTGCCAGTTCCTAATTCTCAGTACTTGGTTAGGATGATAATTTTTCATGGATGCACTCTTTGTTAGTGTAAATACTTTTAATTTACTAAGAATTTATAGGAATGTGTGTTGAATTTGATAAAATAAAATTTCTCTTTTTATATGTAATGTAACATATTATACTTAGGGACTTTCTAATATTAAATTATCAATTCATGCCTAAGATAAGCCCAGCTTAGTCATATATGATCTTCTTTTATACACAGTTGGATTTAATTTGTTTATTTATTATCTTTAGAATTTTTGCAACTCTACTCATAAGGCAGGACTTGAAGTATTCCTTTTCATTATATTGTATCTGATTGTGACAATAGAGATTATGTTGGCTTTATAGAATAAGTAGTAGATTTTTGCCAATTGTCTGAATAAATCCGCATGTTTGGAACTCTTGTTATTTTTGAAAATCTGGTGGAACATGTCATTAAATCTATTAGATCTTTGTGTTTTTTTTTGGGAAAAGATGACTTCAAGTTCCTTTGTAGTCACAGGAATATTTAACCTGTTATTTTTTTTATATGTATATATATATATATATATACATGTAGCGCTCATCCAGGACTTAATCTCCTTGTCTGAAGCAGCTTTCTCTCCCTTTCTGATATACTCAGTATTCCTAGATTCAGTTTCTTTTGTTCATTTTTTTGAAAAATCAATCTGTCTCCCCAGGGAGAGAAAGTATTACTCATCTGGGTATAACTATTGTCACTTTTTACATAATTTCTACCAACTTCTCTGTTTTAACCTCCCTTTCCAAATCCCCAACCCATACAGCACATGCTGTCTTTATTAGGGTTTATATGGCAATGTTTTCTCTTTAGTGTCTCCTATTTCCTGTACTCTGAAGTTTTTTACCTACCCAAGTTATTTACACCCAAACATTGTGAATACTTTAATCTAAAGCTGTCTTACCTTTTTTTCCTTGTGGTTTATGTCTTTAAAATTTTCATTTTAGGTCCTCCCTGGTGGCGCAGTGGGTTAAAGCACAGCACTAAGAAGCTAAAGCCACTTCCGCATGAGTTCAATCCCTGCCTGCCCCAGAGGTGATCCACGTGGCTGGCAGACCTCTCCTGACCCGCCCGCCCGCTGAGGAGCAGCGTACTTCCTCGATCTGCCTGTTCTGTTCTGCTCCCCACTCTGTTCCTGGTGAATCCTCTCACCCTCTGCATCTCTGGCCTGTACCCCAGTTCTGTATGAATAAATAAATCTTTAAATTTTTTTTTTTTCATTTTAGTGGGCTCTGGGGAAGAAGTGCATTCAATCCACCAACCCAAGCCTATTTCCATGGTTTATGTTAGTCATATTGAATAGAACTACTTTCAAAATAATTGAGTCAGTTATACTAATTCTGGACTTTGATCCAGAGTAGTGAATTTAAATACGTTTATTTAGAAGTTTAGATGAACTTAGAAAACTCAAAATAAGAGGAAAGAACAAGTTAGAAATGGAAGAAAACATTTGTATTTTATCACAATGACAATGCACTACTATCTAGTAGAAAATACAAAACTTTCCTCATGTATCAATCTTAAAAGACCATTGATGTTTTATACTCTCATGTTGGGGGTTTCACATCTGTGGTTTCCATTACCTACAGTCAACCACTGCTGAAATTACTGAAAAATAATCTTAGAGAACATTTATGTGTAACTTTTATTATAGCATATTGTTCTAACTGTTCTACTGAATTACTAGTTATTGTTTTAACCTTTACTTGTACCTAATCTTTAATTTATAAACTTTGTACAGGGAAAAATATAATGTATAGGACTCAGAATACCTGCTGAAAATGGCAATGGGATCTAGAATACTTTCCCTTTGGATAAGGTGGGTATGTGGGGAATACTCTAGGTAACAGACTACACAAATAGGCATTTTAAAATAGGAAATAGCAAGGGTCTTCAACCTCATTAGTAACTAGGAAGAATTTAAAACCGTAGGAAGTGTTGGCGTCATTTTGGAGGCCAAGATGTAAACTTATTTGGATGTTTAGAATCCCAGTTCATCCAAGACTAGATGCTTCCACCATGCAGACTAAGTTGGACCTCAGTGAGACCAAAGCTGGAGAGGGAACTACTACATGGACTCAGAGCGAGTCCACCCTTGAAGTGAACCAGGTGGGCCACCTCCATTACTGAAATCCTATTTGCTCATCATAATATTCAGTATTCTTTTCAAACAAACCTTTGAAAAAATTTTTTAAATTTTTGCATCATTGTGCTTTAGAAGTTTAGGGTCTTGCTCTTCAGGTAGAGCAGGACTTCATCCCGCTCTAACACCTATAATCCATTCTCTTACCCTCCCTCCATCCTCAGATCCAGTCAACTTTCTAAATTTAACTTAATTTGACTTCATCTCTGTGGTTCCTAACCTTCTTCCCATTTGTTGTCGTTGTAGCACAACATACATTTTCAAATGGAAAAAAAAATTATCACATACAGTATCTTAAGATAAATTGCCTTTGAATGGGAATTTCCGTTTTAGTACTTACAGGTCTATAAAACAGAAAACTTCCTCCTGTAACAAAATGAAGACTCCTTAAATAAAATGGGAGGAGGAAGAGTGCATATGTCTTTTCTTTGTGTTTAGTAGCTGTAACACTGTCCTTCCCCTGGCTGAGCTCGTTTCATATTTTCTTTAAGATACCATTAGGTACAGAAGATCTTGCAAGCCAACTTTGATGCTGTATGAATTCTGCCATTTTGCTGGATGATGTGGCTCTTGGTTCTATTACTTCATTAGCACTATGAATCCATATGAATTTCTATTATACATTTTACAAGAGGGTGCTTCTGGGTCCTTAGGTCCATTCTATTTTAAGGCTTGAAAATTTGGTTTTCATAAGTTATCCAAGGCTATCTGGCTACCACCTTGCATTACTGTAACTGGAATGCCCGCCTCAACCCTTTACCTTTCAAGTAACAATTTGGGGCCTCCCTGGTGGTGCAAGGAGTTAAGACATAGCAGCACTGTGAAGCTATCCACAATCACTGCAGCATGAGCTCAATCTCCACTCTGGCCAGGGAAGTTACCTGCATGGCGCAGCAGACCTCTCCTCTCTTGCCTGCTGTCTCCCCTCTGCAGTGGCTGAGGAGAGTTTCAGTAGCTTTGCCTGTCTGTCCCCCACTCTGACTCTGATGAATCCTCACCCACATCTCTGGCCTGTACCCCAGCTCTTTAAAGATGCACGTATCTTTAAAAAAGTCACAACTTGAAGGTCTAACTTGTATTGTCCCATGCAATCCTATTTTAAAGCAGGTGAAAAACTTATAGATAGCTGAATATTATTTTGTATTTATGGGGGTGGGAAATTAGTCCCAAGACATCTACAAAGTTCTATTGTATTGTTTTAGTGTAAATTTATTTTGAAGCAATCATTCAATTTCAGATACCAAATCAAAAAAGAAAAATATTAGATCAAGTTGTGACCACTACATCGCAATTTAAATATGTAGTAAGAATACATTTGAGTGCTGTGCCATTCACCAAAATGTCTTTATGGGAAATTTCTCAATCCTCAAGGCTATATGTTATATACGTGTATTTCCAGCTACAACATCAGATAATATGAGATTACAAATAACCTGAAGCACTGCAAGCCTCAGCAAGCTTTAGCTTTGCTAATAAGTTTGGGTTTCATGTCTACCAAAACTTGTTTAAAGCATTAGAAATGCTCATTCTTAAGTCTCTGGAGCATAAGCAAAGCTCACTGTATATAAGATATTCATACATCACAGAAAAAACTGGAACTTGAGATATGTCCAAAGAAAGGGTAAGTGTGACTTATAGTATCAGCTAAGGCAAATGATCAGAAAGGGGAGACACTATGGTCCACACATGTATGAAAATGTTAACAATTGTGTTCAGGATCTCCCTGGTGGCACAAGGGTTTAAGTTTAAGCACAGCACTATGAAACTATTCACAGCCACTGCACCATGAGTTTGATCCCTGGCCAGGGAGGTGACCCACATAGCTCAGCAGACCTCTCCTGACCTGTCTCCTGCTGCCCTCAGTAGTGTATTTCAGTCAATCTGCCTGTTCTGTTCCCCACTCTGTCTCTGGTGAATCATCTCACCCCCCCACACGTCTGGTCTGCATCCCAGTTCTTATATGCATAAATAGATAAATCTTTAAAAAAAAAAATGTGTGTTCAATCTTAAGTACTTGAAATTCTATATCCCATCTAAATACAGTAGTAAAGGAATATGCAATTCAGATTCATATGCTTATTTAAACTCATGTCTCTAAAATAGAAAAGCATAAAAATACAATTAGAGGCAAACATATTTAATAGAAATATTAAAATAATCATTACATTTCCTCATTGCTGAAACCATGAAAGAATATCCATTTTGTAATCAAAGTAATAATTCTTTTTATAATGCAAAATGTATTTTTGTAATTACAATCATGTAGACTATATTTTAAAATAAGTTTATATATATTTCAAAAAGACCTGAAGAGAAAATGAAATTTATTTAAACACTATTAGTTACAACGTATGCTGCTGGCATACTCATATTCACAGTTTATAAAGTAAAAAATCTAAACTTAAAGTCAGCTCTGACATAGATGCATTTTCATCAGTACGTTCACTAGTTATGTCTGTTTGCCTAAAATAGAAGCAAAGATAGTAGGAGATATTTTGTAAAGAAGAAACTCAATATATCAGCAGCAATCTTAGTTAAATTAAGTTGGAAACCAATATTCTGAGTAAAGTATCAGTGCCAAGTGAGGCAGCAAATTAAAATATATTACTGAAAAATTTAAGAGAATATCACAGAACATACTATATGATTTCTTAAAATACAAGTATTACCATATTTATGATTTTGTTAGTTAATAAAATAAATCCAGAGGCATCAAGGACTAGTAATACCACAATCTATAATTATTCAGAAGAAATGTAGTCATGATCTCTAAGGGGTTTTTCTAGTGTCATTCTAACATCCCTTTTGGTGGAAAGCAGTGGAATGGCATCATCTGCTGAAACATGGGAAGTACCAGTTTCATTTTTAGATATGAGAAATACCACCCATGTCTGAAATAATTTTATTTAGGAGATGGAGAGAATTCTCAAAACAGACTCATGGCCTAGAAGCAGTTGACCCAAAAAGAGCCTGGAGAGACACCATGAAATCACCCCAGTTAAGTATCACATTCTCTTCTATTCATATTCAATGAATAGAATTCAATCAACACTTGAGCTTCTGACAGCATAACTCGTTTTCAGTTAATATGCTTTAGAGATAAGGAAAACAGCTCATTTTAAAGTAAAATGTGTTTTAACTTAGTCTCATAATTAACTTCAGGGTAGTTAATAAACATTTTAATTTTACCAATGAAACATTTTACTTCATAGTCAACACATTTATAGTCAGTAATAATCTACCACAAATTCAATTCTGTGACAGTCTTAGTAACATTATTTTAAAAGCTTAAATTCCAGTATTTGGTTCCAAAATTTAGTTTAAATTAAAAACTCACAGTCCTGTAAAGATATAGTTAGATCCTAAGGTTCCAGTGGAGGCAGTGGATTTTTGCTGTTTTCATCTTGTGGCATGCTTGGGAGATCACAGAGTCAAAGACTTGTGGACTAGTATCAATACTTCTGGCCACTGTATTTTTATTTCAAGCTGTTTTTAAATATATCGACATATGTATGTACATATATACTTAGAAGATATGAATATAAATATACACTTTTACAGGAACCAATCTTGCAAATAAATGCTATTTGGTTAGTAAGTTCTTTCCATCAATTATCGAAGTCCGGACCAACTATGGAGATAGGACGCCCATCCGGAGGAACGAGAAGCATTTTCTTCTTCACCTTTGGAGTTAAAAAAAAAAAAATTCATTTTTTCAAACCATACTTTGCTGTTATAATTTGTCTGTTCTTGAACTTTCAGTATTTGCTGTCTCTATTATAGAAGTAATTTCAAAATAAAATCCTCAGCACAGCACAACAACAAAGTATTGTTTATACTGGGAATTTTTTTGTTTTTCAAAAAAGAAGACTTACTGTAATTTAGCTTAGACTCTAAAACCAGCAGATTTATGGTAAACCTCAAAACCAAATCAAAATAGCTGTTCTCAACCATTTAAATGAAAAACAAAAACAAAAAAATCAAAAGTCAAAACAAGGTGTCATCTTGTTTCACCCTTTCTAGGTATAGTACTATTGAGTCCTGATGAACACACAGTTGGTGGAAAGCCATGACCCAAGCCAAAGTACAGTCCATTTCTACCACTTCAATATCCTGTCAGGTCCATGCTTAGCCAATCATTTCCCCACACCTTTACAACTTCTGATCTATTTTCTGTCATGTCTTTTCCAAAATACCACACAAGTACAATGACATTATATAGTCTTTTGGGTCATTGTCTCTTATTTAGCATAGTGAATTACAGAATCACCCCATATTGATGTGGGTCTCAGTAATTCATTGCTTTTTATTGCTGAGTGGTATCCATTTTATTTACTTGTGACGGATATTTGAGTTGTAGTTTTTAGGTAAAATTGCTATAAATGTATTTAATTTGAATATTCATAACATACCATAAAATTCACCCTTTAAAATACACATAATTTATTGCTTTTTAATTATGTTCATGAGGCTTTTGCCGTTTTCTGTGTGGACATATGCTTCCACTTTTCTTGTATAAACTCCTGGGATTGGAACTGGTGTATAGTGAATATGGTTACCAGGATCAGTTTAGCTGGGTCCCCTATTTCAGGGTCTTTCTCCTTCACCTGGCTACTATCAAGAAGTCAGCCAGTGACAAAGTCTCATCTAAAGGATCTGTTTCTACTCATGTGGTAGATGGCAAAACTCAGGTACTCAAGGTTGTGGTACTGATAGCCATAGTTTCTCGCTCACTGTTGGCTAAGACTGGCTTCTGTTCCTTGCCATCTGGACATCTCCAATATGGCAGCTGTTCATCAAAGTGTGTAAGTGGAGAAGGCAGAGAGAGACATCACAAATTTTATAATCTAATTGTAGAAATTGCTTTCTATCATCTTTATCTACTGTTAAAAACAAGTCACTATGCTAGGTTACTGGCCATTTAAGGGAAGACAGCTATCTAAAGGCTAGAATGTACAAAGAAGAAAAATTATGAGGACAGCAGGTTTTCCAGAAGTCTGTCTTCTTCTCCCTCCCCTTCACCCCCAGAAGTCTGTCTTTTACAATCTCGTGGAGAAGAACTTCTATGAAGCTGAAGGAGTGATACTCTTAAGTAATGGGCAACTGAACAGTAGGTGTTTTCTCCCATCAGATGAAGAGTAGCTTTGCTTTCAAGAATAAGAAAAAGGTGAGTAAAAACATTTCCCTAAATCAAATGCACACACTATTATAAGCTCACTTGGAATAACTGATAATACTTAGTATAACTCTTCTGATACCATAAAAATTAAGCCGTGTTCCTAGACCTAGCAGAATTTTGCCGTGTGTAAACAATATTCCTGTAACTAACTCCTTAGGTAAATAAGGGCCAGAGAAAGGGTATGCTGAGACAGGATACAATGGCTCCTGCCCAGGGCAACTCTGCTCTTCTGGTAAGTTTCTGTATTTGCTGCAAATCAAATCAGGCACTAAAGTGCATTCTTCCTGTCAGTATGGAATTGATCTTTACCTTGTCTCCTATTGAATTGTTAGCCTTTTCCTTCTTTATTTATCTCTGGAGTATTAGACCTTGGCATGCGGTATATACCAAGTAACACAATATGTGGTTTTGTAAATTATAACATACCTCGGGGGTAAAGATGTAGAGACATTATTTTTGGTTCTAGCTTGAGATTCCAATTGTGCATAGAGGCAGCTTTGAGTACTTTTGAGTACTTAATGACACTTGTTTGGGGTGCAAACTTGGTTCTTCATGGGTATTTACTTTAAGGAGTATGATGTTGCTTGTAAGAACTGGATAAGCTATTTTATGGTTTATATTAATGTTCCTCAAATATTGGTAACAGGACCAAAGAAAAAAATTTATAGCAGGGGTTGATACATTCAGATATATCATAATAACTACCCACTTACCTAGACAGTTTCTAGAAACAATTTCTACCCCTTTAACATATTCAGTGTATTGTAGTATTTGAATTATTCCATTTAAAAAAGATTCTGATTGTGATTTACTAATTCATCATTCATTAACTGAGCTGGTTAGCAACTGAAGGTAGAAACTCTTCACAAAGTCAGAGAGCATAAACATTACTTCAAAGGAGATGAAGGAGGCAAGAGGTACTTGTGTATTTTTTCTCTAATGGTTCTGTTCCTTTCCATGCCAGAAAGAGGAAGTCTCAGACCCCTGCCTGACACTTTATACACATTAACACTTTATACACATTAACACTTTATACACATTAACACATCATCTTTAGGGCCTTTATGTCCCTTGTGTGGCAGGTGAGGCCCAGGACGCCCATCTACATAGCCTAATGGCAAGTTTCCTCTCTGTGACATTTCTTCTTGCATCTCTGACCTTCCACCTATAAGGTTTTCCTTATGTGTGAAGTATGCTGTTGAGAATTGCCAGTGATGGTAGATTTCTAAAGTTTCTGTCAGAAAAGATCTTGAAAAAATATCTTATTAAGAAGGCAGGTATTTCTTGTTTTGGTTGTTTTTGAAATTTTTCTCTGTCCTCTTCTGGGGCAGGTTGACTTTCTGTGTGAGCAGCAGCATACTTCTCTTTACTTGCTTGAAATGATTTAATAAAAAAATGTGTATCTTCTTAAAGATTTGGTTAATCTTACATTGAAAAAATAACTTCAGCTATAAGAACATTCTTCCCTCATAGTAATAAAGAAGAAACTAATAAGAAAATAGAGAAAACAAAACACAGTACTATTTCAGTATTGGAGATGGTGTGAGGGGTAATGCAAGCTTAATTTTAATTGTCTACTAGGTCAGAGGTTCTCAAGGTACAGTCCCAGAGAATAAGCATTACCTGGGAATCTATTAAAAATGTAAACTCTTGGGCTCTCCCTGGTGGCGCAGCGGGTTAAAGCACAGCACTGAGAGCTAAAGCCACTTCCACATGAGTTCGATTCCCGCCTGCCCCGGAGGTGACCACATGTGGCATGGCAGACCTCTCCTGACCTGCCCGCTGCTCCCCTCAGCAGTGTGCTTCCTTGATCTGCCTGTTCTGCTCCCCACTCTGTCTCTGATGAAGCCTCTCACCGCCCCTGAGCCTCTGGCCTGTACCCCAGTTCTGTATAAATAAATAAATAAATCTTAAAAAAAAAAAAAAGTAAACTCTTGGATCTCACTCTAAAATTTTTTAATCAGAAATAGAGTGGGATCCATAATCTGAGTTCTAATAATCACCATGTGATTTTGATACCTGCTTAATTTTGGACTTTCTAGTTTGGTCAGAAACATGTTTAAGAGCACCAACATGATGAAATAAATCAGTCAAAAGTGGGGCAACGAGCTATTTTGGGCTTAGTAATGTGATTTCTTAGAAATGATCTAATATCACCTATGAAGTATTTTTGTCTCCCATTCTGCCTAGTTAAGCTTGGCTCTAAACAGTCCATTTACAGGCAATATCAGAACAGATTGAAAGCTATCTTGTGCTCACTTCAGCAGCACATATACTAAAAATTGGAACAATACAGAAAAGATTAACATGGGCCCTAAGCAAGGATGACATGCAAATTTGTGAAGTATTCCATTAGAAAAAAGAAAAGAGACAAAAGAAAGCTATCATGCAGGACCAATTTCAGAATAATAGAAATAACTTTTTGTGGCTGTATAGGTTTCCGGTATAGTTTCTCACCTCAGCAATTGTTATGCAACATACCACATCCACAACTCATATTAAGAATTCTACAAAACAAGTCACATGTTTCTTTAACTAATAAATGACATTAGTAAAAGGAATAAGGAAGTGCTATAGATAACAAAAAGTTTAAAGAATATAAACCAAACATAACATGTTGATTCCTACTTGGGATACTGTAAAGTGACATTTAAGATAAAACAGGAAAATGAACAAGGTATATAGATTATAGCAGTATAATACACACTTAAGTATTCACTGAAATCTGATGATAAAAAAAATGGATATGAATATTTTTAAAGGATTTCACAAAATCACAGTATCAAAGCTTTAGCATATAGTTTTGAGAATCTAAACTCCAAATATATGACAGCTTTAAAACTGCGTTTACTCAGAATAATGGACTACTGTATTTGGGCCAAACCTTAAACTAAATGAATCTTTTGTTTCTAGAATATGGGGAGAAGGGGCCAAGAAGGGTAATCTAGAAAGGGGTGGAGGGTGGGGTGGAAGGGATAGATGGAACAAACATATTTTTTAAAAAGTATGATATAAAACTGCATTCTTTGATAGAACTCAACACTAGACTGAAATACTCACTTTTCAAAAAATAGCAGATAAAACTAAATATGTATTTTGCTGTATATTAAAATTATATAAATGTACTGTAGTTGCCCTAAAAACATAAAATATCAGCTTTGCAAATTAGTCTAAGATTATACATATGACAGATCTAACCCAAATAAACAGCTTACAATTTAACATTTTAAGACTGTGTTATGGAAAAGACTTAAGCATACTGTCTCATTAAAAGGCTAACATTGATTTTAAGAAGTAAGGCCAAAGTATAAGGCTTTCCTTCTTCACCTACCTTGAGCAACTGCAGCAAGTTTTCCCTTTTCTTCAGGGTTTAGCTGCAACATTGTATCTATAACAGGAAGGAGCGTCTCCCTTTCACTACCTGGTTTTAGGAATATGAACTGCAGCAAGACATTTTTCAAGTATTCCAGATTAGCTACAGACTTCTCTCGTTCTTGATTTCTTTCCAGTCTTCTTATTTCACTCTTAAGAAGCTGGTGGTAGAGAAACAAATACAAAACGAGTCTTGGGGGAAAAATGGGTTTTAGGTTAAATGCAGACTAAACACATGCATTTTTCTTCTCTTCCCCATGCAATGCTCACCCACCCCTTCCAAACGACAAGAGATTAAAAGAGGAGAAAAAGGCAGTTATGAAATGTCTTTCAGCAAACAAACAAACAAAAATACACTGCTACAGTCCATGAAAATCAGCCAACTGTACTAAAATCTGGGGTCATGAGGACATTTTAAAAAGTACCAATAGTGTTTAAGAAATCATGTAAGAATGTAAATCTGTAGGAATGTAGAAGTTGAATAGTCACTTGAGTTCACTATGCTAGTGACTTGTTACATGTAATAATGTGCTGATTATGTAGGAAATACTGTTTTACAGAAATAAATATGCTTTAGTGGTAGGATATCATTATATATATGTAATTTGCTGTAAATAAATGCGCTATTAACATTAAAAATATTAATCTGACAAGGACAGCTGTTGGTTTTGCATACAGGTTGGGTGGATTTATTTAGGGGAACACTGTATAGAAAAGAGGCATTTGCTGTTCAGACAGATAAGTGTCTGAATTTCAATTATTCTTTCTTTTATCTAGCATAATGAGGGTTAAATATACCTAACATCCAGGATCTGGCTAATGTGAACTGGTCTTTAAGTGGTATGACCATATTTAGAGAAGTGAATATTAGACTTGGGGAAATTATTTCATTGGGATATCTCAACTGCTATATAACATTTCTTGGTATTGACTTTAAAAAGGAAAATTGTCTTATGCCACTCTGCCATCTCCACCCACACTGAGTACTATGATAAGCAGTTTAGGGTCATAAATATCAGTTGAATGACTGAATTAGAAGTGCTCAATTTCATCATTAGAATTTAAGAATCTATACCAAATTTTTATTTAAGCAAATGTAGAACTGGCTTCAGTATATTTAGTTTCCTCAATCTATTATGGGTTCTTAGTTCTTAGAACAGGACAAAATTAAAAAAGGCTTTATAATACATATATAAAAATAGTATTTCTCAATTCCAAGAACCAAGTATTTTCTTGGTGGCAGTTTTCTGCCCTTACCTTAATTTGCTCCATAAGGATTGCATTGGTTGCTTCTGTTTCTCGGAGCAGGCTGTTCAAGTGATCGGCACTTTTTGTGGTGGAACTGAGCTTCTGAACCAATTCTTCTTTGGTAAATTCAGCATGCCATAAAGGAGTCTCTACAAGATGTTGTTACAGTAATTAATTTTCAAAATTACAGATGAAGAGTCTAAGTAAGAAAAACATCTAAATATAGATATTTTGCCCTGCAATATTATACAGGCCCATTCTTTGCCATTCTTCAGCAAATGTCAACAGTTACAAGTTGACTGTAAGGCATATAACTGAATATAAGCCCTATATGCCCCAATTCTGAATTTTGTTGGGCTTGCATTTCCAGACTGCTTTATTCGTTTTCTTACTCATCTTTCCTATTTCCCAAGGTCTCAAGGGTTTGTCATTTTACTCATAAATGAATAAGGATGAAAATTTAATGATCATGTATATCAGAGATTCACAACAATTTTATATGAGATAGGGTAGATATCACTACTAAAATTTAGTAGAAGGTACAGGCTTAAAGTCAACAAGTAATTTTGGCAAAAATGACAGAGCCAATTCTAGCATCTTTCCATTCAATCATGATGCCTCCATCTCACCACTATGAACTAACTATGCTCAAAGGAACCCTGAGTTCACTTTCTACCCATATCATAATCAATGCCTGTGGGTACAGATAGTCCTTACTCTAGATCTTGAATCTTCAGAAAGGTGACATAATTCCCCCGAACTATGAAATAAGTATAAAATACACCAAAACTTTATCAAGGTAAATTTAGCATTACTACTACTTAGTGCATCTTAAAATTTTTCATAGGTAGGGGATAATTTATCTTTCTAATACTACAGAACTTCAACCATCTATGGGTAGGAGAGAGCTAGCATTTTACTTAAAAAAAAAAAGAAAAAAAGAAAGGTTTCATTCTCAAAAGGCCATCTATTTGAAAAGGAATGGAATTCTGAAAGAAATTTTGCTGGGGTAGCTCAAAAAAGCACTTATAATTTAGAGGATCATTAAGAGTGGAGTTAAATAAAATAAAAAACATTTAGAGTGAAACATACCAAGTTTGATTTCAGAAGAATTAAGGAGCTGTTCTAAAGACTGTGTGTGAGTACCAGTGGAAGATACAGACTCGGTGTCAGTTGTCTCCATTCCTTCTCCTTCTTCGCGCGTTATGGTGTGCATGTCTAGAAGGGGAAGATCTGTGTTTCTTCTTTCTCGAAGGTTCTTTGAAGGTAGGTGGGAAGAAGCTGGGCCTATTACATATTGATTAAAGGATACATGAGAGATAACTCAAAACCAAACAGAAATACACAATAAAGCTAAAATGACCCTAGAGTTGTCAAATGATATAAGAAGGACACTAGTAACTAGAGGACAAGAATATAATTTATAACTTATATGATGTTCTGATACTATTAAGTTTTCAAATGTGTAAAATAATTTCTAACAGTCCCAAAACTGATCTTCTATACTTTTAACCATTAAAGTAATTTTTAAAAAGTATTTATTTATTTATGCATACATAACTGGGGTAGAACAGGCCAGAAGTGCAGGGGCGGTAAGAGGCTTCATCAGAGACAGAGTGGGGAGCAGATTGATGAAGTACACTGCTGAAGGAGCAGCGGATGGGTCAGGAGAGGTCTGTCGCACCATGTGGGTCATCTCTGGGGCTGGGGATTGAACTCATACTGAAATAGCTTTAGCTTCTTAGTGCTGCGCTTTAACCCCCTGCACCACCAGGGAGGGCCCCCATTAATTTTAACAGAAGCTATAAATGATTGTTACTAGCTAAAGAAGATAAACTATTAGATAACAAAAAGCTCACAACGTAGAGGGATATATGTGGTTAAACACTCGTACATATTCTGAAAATAGATCATAACTATTTTGCAGCCTAGGTATTTCACAGTTGTTGCATACTCTAACACAACACTCTTCTAAGCTGGCTCAGGAGAAATTCTTGTTGATCACTGCTCTTGCTACACTGCTGACTCCTACTCCTGCCCGCTCAATTTTTAGATAAGAAGACCAGAATAAAGTGTGAGGTACTAATTATCATTCTTGGACATGGTTTTCTTGCTTGCTGATAATGACCACTTGTAAGAACTATACAGTTTATAAGATACTCTCAAACACACTGTTGTATAAGTCCCTAGAGAAAATGACGTAACCTAAGATTAAAACTGTAATTCTAATCCAATTTTTTTTTTCATTTTCCATTCCATGATGTAGCTTCCCCTGTTCTTTCAAATGTTGTTCTGATTGCCAATGGAGACTCAGTTTCTTGTGTTTCTGAAATTTTGCTGTGTATTCCACTTTACTCCTAGATTACATCCTCTTGCGCAACCAAGTTTCCTTGATTGGTTACTTCTTTTGCTGATTTGTGGCACAAATTGTTTTTTTTTTTAAAGCTGGTCTGACCCTGACAAGTGACCTGTATTTGCTATTTTCCATGGGAAACTTAAAGTATCCACTTTATATCTAAATTAAAACGTAGCCTTATCTTGACTGACATGTTTCCATTTCTTCTAGGAAACAGAATGGAAAATATTAGATGTGGGTACACTAAAACTACAGCTAACCAGGCATTAAAAAAAGAAGCTGGGCCCTCCCTGGTGGCGCAGCGGGTTAAAGCACAGCACTGAGAAGCTAAAGCCACTTCCACATGAGTTCGATTCCTGCCTGCCCCGGAGGAGACCACATGGCGTGGCAGACCTCTCCTGACCCGCCCGCTGCTCCCCTCAGCAATGTACTTCGTTGATCTGCCTGTTCTGCTCCCTACTCTGTCTCTGGTGAAGCCTCTCGCCACCCCTGCACCTCTGGCTTGTACCCCAGTTCTGTATGCATAAATAAATAAATCTTTAAAAAAAAAAAAAAAGAAGCTGTATTGGCCAATCAGTCCCACAAGTCTAGTGTTACTTGAGTTTGAATTCAAAGTAGATATGATGACTAATAATGGAGAACAAAAGTGAATGGCGATCTAGTGACTACTGGAATTTAGACACATTACAAAACTGACAGAGTATGTATGAGTTAGAGGAAAAGAAATACTCCATGGTTACATGTAGGTTAACAAATATATGAAAGTCAGTATTCCAAAAAACTGTATAATCAAGAAGGGTTCAAATATCTTCCTGGTAAGCAACATTCATTAATCACAGGCATGATACATATGGATTGCCACCTACTTAATTTTCTACTTAGTTAGGAATTTCTGAGAAGGTATTTAAGTGATAATATACCAAGGCATGAACAACTAGTATTTCTATTCATATATACATACTTCTTATGGTTGGTTCACTCTTAAGCTGGAAAAGTTGAGCTTCCATTTTGGAGAGCTGCTGCTGTAAAGTTTCTGTTGTCTTTCTGTGCTCTTCCTGCAAATGTCGTACTTGATCTCGAAAGCTGTTGCGAAGGGTCTCGTTCTGGGACTGCAGCTCATTCACACTGTGGGCATGTTCAGACTTCATCATCATGTTCTCTGATTGTACTGAACATAATCTGTAGGTGAGAGGAACTTACTTCATATGAGATCTTTTAACACTAGATGATGACTCAGCCTTCCTCAACTGGGTTCTGCAGGAGTATTGGCCCAATGGACTTCTTACCTATGCATCTGTATTTCTTGTATAACAAACTGGAGAGAAATGATGTTGATCATTATCTAGTTTAAATCATTTTCTGTGTAGGGTAGCGGAAATAAGGAACCTCAGAGTTTATCAGCAAAAAGGACTAAAGAACATAAAATAAAATTAGTCCATTTTTAAGGTTATTTTATGTGGTAGCTTGAATAAATATTTTATGTGGTATTTCAAATAAATAAATATTGGATTAATCTATTTTTTTTTCTCTGCGACTCTAAAAACACAAGAAAGAACACTTTCTTTTGATGCATGAAGTTTTAAAGGAAAAAATACCCTAAGTCAGTTAACACAAAATTCTGAAACATAAAGACTTAGTTTACTGTAGCTGCTTCTGAATTTTGCTGCACAGCTGAGTCACTGAGATACACTGTTAAAAATATATTTAGTTCTCATCCTAGAGTACCTGAACCACAAAATCCGAAGGTGGTACCAGGAACTGCCTATTGGTAGCAGTTTTCCAGGTAATTTTTATGTAGTCAGTCTGACACTAGCCAGTGGATATAACATTTTGGAACCACTTTTTCTAATGTCTCATTTGTAGTGTGAATGTTCTGTATGTATGACTTAAATAAAAAATACATTTTCTCTTCATACAAATGATCTACAAATATACTCCTAAATTGTAGTAAAAAAGTGAAAGCCCTCTTTTATTCACTCACTCCCTGCAGTGTAAAATCCCAATTTCAGGGATACCTTTCCAAGATCTCCCTCTATACACATGTATATCACAAAAAGCTTTAAAACAAGATTTCGTGGTCAAAGGGACAAATGGTCTAAAAATACCGTATATTTCAGCAAAGGTATCTTAATTGCCAAGATTATATTGTTTAATGGGTTTATAGAATGCTAGTGTATACACTAGCCCTAAAATCATTTTTCAGCAGGCATTTTGTTCAACTTCTACAAAGAAAAATAGAGAAGAACTATCATCAGTAACAATAAAAAGCCCCATTGTAGAGTTAGAGTAAGAATTCTTACTTTACCTACTTGGGAGTCATAAGTTCAAACCCCTGAATTCTACATGGAACCAGAACATCTATTCTGATTAAATTCACTGTTCTTTCCCAGCTTTTACTGGGGTGCTTGTATCAGCTGGGCCTCTGGGAACTTCAGGTATTAACTGGTAAGATTAATTACTATTTGGCAGCCATTTTTTACAATTTCATAGAGAGAACTTATGAATATTAAAATATTTAAAAATTATATAAGGAAAAGACAATTTCTTCATATTAGGACGTAGACAGTAACGATACTACTGGCTTTTAAGATACCACTTAAAATATCACTGACTTTCTGAAGAAGTAGAAAAAGATCCCTAATACTTCAAAATGTTATAAACAGTTTCCAGTGGTTAGAAGAATAACTGGCATATTGTAGGTAATCAAAAAATATTTATTGAATCACTAATGGAGGCATCATTTGCACTTCATTTGTTTTGTCAATAATACAAATTATATACTAGCTTTTCTACAACAGAGTATCTTAGAAGAAAGAAAGTTTCTAAGGTAAATATCAAATAGGCATCGCCACATATAAGCTAATCTCAAGATAAGTCCTACAACTAGGTACAAATCTTCACTGAAATGTTATTTACTTGATTAACTTATAAATTACACTGTTAAAAGATTAAAATAAAAACCGTGGAAACTATAAAACACTGTTTAAAGAAATGAAAAAAAAGTGGAAATATATTCCCTGAATTTTGAATATTCATTCAATTAAAATTCCCTTAATTTTAATATTTATAACTTCTTTGTATGAAATTGTAAAATTCCACACACAAAAAGTAGAAATATATACCCTGCTCATGGACTGGAAGAATACTGTTGAAACAGCCAACATACCCCAAACAATATGTAGATTTAAAGCAACCCCTATCAAAATTTCAATGATATTCTTCAAAGAAACAGGATGAACATTACTCATATTCATATGGACTCACAAAAAATCTATTAAATAGTAAAAGAAATCCTGACTAAAAAGAAGGATGGAGAAAGCACACTCTCATACTTCAAGATATACTACAAAGTTATAATATTCAAAACAGCATGGTACTAGATGACTAAAAAACCCATACTTACCAATGGAACAGGTTGAGAGATCAGAAATAAACTCACACTTTCATGGACTATTAATCTATGACAAAGGAGCCACAAACATACTCTGGAACAAATAGTGCCTCTTCAATAAATGGTGTGGGACAAACTGGACAATCACATGCAAAGGCATGAAGCTAGACCACAATCTCACACCAATTGAAAAATTAACTCAAAATGGATAAAACACATCATAAAATACATAGAATGAAGCAGATAATACATTTTACAACATAGACTTCAAATGTCTGTGGTAAGAGAATATACATAGAAGAGAATATATAAACAGTTGGGACTATATCACACTAAAAAGCTTCTGTATAGTGAAAGAAACTATCACTATAACAAAAAGATATCCCATTTAAATGGGAGAAAGTATCTGCACACCATACATCTCACAAAAGGCTGATAGCCAAGATCTTTTAAAGGAGTCACAAAACTCAAAAAAAAAAACAAATAACTCAATCAAAAAAAGCAGAAGAGCTAAATAGGTATTGCTCCAAAGAAGACACATACTGGCACATTAAAAAAAAATGCTCAGCATCACTATCACCAGGGAAATGCAAATCAAAAAGATGTGAAGCCACCTCACATTTGTGAGAATGACACATATCAAAAAGGCCAGAATAAAGTGTTAGTGAGGATGTAGATAAAAAGGAACCCTCTTATACTGTTAGGCGATTTAGACTGGTCTGGCATCAATGAAAAATAGTGTGGAACTTTTTCAAAATATTAAAAATAGATTTACCATATGATCAAGGCTTTCCACTCCTAGTTATCAAAGAATACAAAAACATTAATCTGAAATGATGTATGAATTATTTACACTAGCCAAGATATACAACAAAATGATTAAAGACAGGTAATTAGAGAATTAGAATTGGAGGGGATTAAAATAATAAACATAAAATAATAAACACAGTAAGACATTAGGAGAAAGATAAATACTGGATTGGGTCACTTATATGTGGAATCTAGATAAACAAAACAAAATCAGAGAAAATCAAGCCAGTAAAAAAAAAAACGTAGAAATATTGATTGTAGAACTGAGGCTACAAGAGGTGTATGTGTTGGGAAGGCAAGGAGTTGGGGAAAGCAGAGTGGGAAGGTAACACAATGAACTATGGAGGACTGTGGGTACCTTTATGGTGGGTGGTGTGGTGTGGTACTATGCATCTAGCGGGTGTGATCCTAAATCTCTAAATCATATATAATGTTGTAAAAACTTAGGAAAAAAAAAAAAGATTTGTTCACTTTGAAGATTAGCATAAATATAATGTGATACATACTCTCACTTTCTTGATGTGTGATCCTCAATGAAGAATTACTTTCCTAAGTTTAAGTATTACAACCTAATTTCTTTATTGAAGGAATTTTAAGTTCCATACAATAATGGATTCTTCCAATACCACTAATGTTTATTTAAATTGTTGGCAAAAGTATAACAATATGACAAGTGGAAGAGAGATAAAGTTACAAACATAATTTAGTAGCTTTTTTAGTGGCAGCTATTGGAATGTTTTCCTCTAGAGAGAAAAATAAGCGTTATAATATCAGTAGTTGGCTTTTTTTTTTTTTTAAAGAAATATCCTGGTCACAAGGCCATGGGAAAGACAGAATATTGGAAGAGCAAATAAGATAGAAAATGCAAAGTTACAAACCCTTTAAAAAATACATATTTTCTTGTTTTCAATTTATATTTATCCCAGGGAGCAATACAGTAAACAGGGCTTCCAACAAAGGAATCCTTAGCTGCCTGGTATACAAACAGTATTTCTAGTATCCTTACTTTTCCCGGAGTTCTGCCTCTTTGGATACAGTTTCCTGCAGAATCTTGTTATGCCTTTCCAGTAGAGTATCGTGCTCTGATTGTAAGGTTTGTAGTTCAGCTACATTAATCTGTAAATTACTTTGGGTATCTTGCAATTTGATTTTTAGTTGGTCAATCAGCATTTCCAGGTGTTCTCTAAAACATAAATAAGTTAAAAAGGTTTTTAAAAGATAGGAATTTGAAGTTTCAAATAAATTTCTCTCAATATATTATTATGGATGACTCTAAGGAAATAATCACAACAATCTAGAAACTAGGACTAAATATAAAATGAAAGATAAGTGAAATTTTAGGTCTTAGGTTTTACAGATTTACAAAAAATCTTTGCATTTATAATTTCATATTCATATAGAGCACATGATTAAATGATATCAACACAGGCTATTTTATGTTATAGACCATGCCTTTGAGGGGGGGAAAAAAGTCACACAACTCCAAGTTAACGATTATGAGAATGGAATAGTAGTAGATGAACAATTAAATGCCATTATTCTGCCACAATTAATATAACTAAAAGTATCTGATGTATAAAAAGCACAGGAGGAAATGTAGAACACATTAAAACAACACAAATTCTGCCGTGATCAAAAATGACTCTAGCAAATAGTGTCAGGCTTATATTAAGTATTAAGTATGTCAATAATCAGTTTTAAAAAGAGCTACTGAAAGAGCTTATAGTTACCATATTTAATGGAAAAAGTAACATTAAATCCTACTTTGAACAGTAACAGCAGATGTAGTATCACTATACTATGCTTCTACTTTGTGGAATGGCTTCTATCTTATTATTAGTATATTTCCGAATAATTTACAAAAGTGACCTGTATGCTAGCTTTAAGAGAATTTAAACAATATATTACTGAAAGAGTAACTGCGATGGTCAAAATAGAAGAAAAATTTAATTATAGACCTGAAGTTAGTATACAACTGAAAACTTTTTGAAGCAAATGTTTTTAAGAACTTCCATTTTGCCTAAAGGGTAATAAGCACATCAAGGAAGCATTTTATTCTACTTGTAAATTTTCAAAATTGGAAAAACTGATCATAATATAATCTAAATGTCTGTATTCTACTATGACTAGATCCTATTAAAGATAAATCTATTTAGCTTACATCTCAAAGACTATATCCTGGTTTCACTGTTCATTTCACACCATCTTTTTGAGTTTATAACAATGTCCTTTATAGTAATATTTTCCTGGTGCTGTCTGAAGAACCAACGAAGCCAAAAAATAAGCCTGTTGGTAACCACATGTAAGGTTCCATAGCTAGAGAAATCAGGTAGGATTTTTAACTATGTGTGATCTGTATCTATGTGATATAGAACATGTTGCAGGGTTGGGGAATACCATGCATGCTTCTAATAATTCAGGTTTTACCTTTCTTGTTTAGCTCCCTCAGTTTCAGCCTGAGACACAGATTTATTTTTCTGTTGTTTTAGAACATTATGAACTCGAACTTTGTAGCTCTCAAATTCAGAGGTTACAGCAGCTTGCTCTGCCTACAATATTAAAAGAGAAAAAAAATTTCTACAGCATTTTCTACTGTAACATTACCCCCTTATTTTCTTTCATATATTAGTGAATTAAGGTGAAAACCTGTTTTTGAAAATGAAAAAACAGGCCAACAGTCTTTAGTCCTCTCTTAACTTTTGATAAAAAGTGTGCTTCTGTTGGTCTTACATTTTTTTTTGAAGATTTATTTATTTATGCATACAGAACTGGGGTACAGGCCAGAGGTGCAGGGGTGGTGAGAGGATTCACCAGAGACAGAGTGGG